CCCATGTTAGGTAATATTTTTTCGCACATAATTTTTTCTAAGGTTGCACAGTGTTCCTCTGTATTCATTTAACTGTTTGACATTTACACTGTTTCAAATCTCCACTATTACAAACAAGTGAAGAACTTCCCTATACAACCCTAACAGATAGATACTATCTGCCCATTTTATAGAAGGCACGAGGCTGGAAGGTCAAGAATCATAGTTTGGGTAGAGAAACTAAGATGGCGGCAGAGATAAAAGGGTTTGCACATAGGCTAGTCTAACCTCTAAGCTCATATGTATAGTATAAAATAATTTGTATTCTGTTTACTGGGCTGTAATATAAAATAGTTTTTTGGGTTTTTTTTTTACTATGATTCACTTTCAAAAAAGTATAAGAAACAAGTTTAGAAGAACATTATGTAACAAATGCATAGATGCTGTAATGCCTCATGGCTTATTGAAAAGTGTTTGGCTGTAACAGTGCATGAATGCGGGGAAAATAATGTGACAAGACAACAGAGCGGTGCCGAAAACAGTTTCATGATTGAATCCCCACTGCCAAGCACAGTGCACTCAAGAAACATCTGTGGAGCGAATGAAGACATAATTATGAATTAACTAGAGGCCCAATGCATGAAATTCGTGCAAGAGGCCTTCCTTGCCCCAGCTGCTGGCACCGGCTTCCCTCTGGCACCCAGGACACGGGCTTCCCGCAGCCCCGGTTTCATCCAGAAGGTAGTCTGGAAGGATGTCTGGTCAATTAGCATATTACGCTTTCATTATTATTGATAAGGTGTCCCCCAAAAATGTATACACACAATGCCTGTAGATTCTATTACGTTTTGAAACACTGCCTTTATTTTTTTAAAAATACATTTTATTGATTTTTTACAGAGAGTAAGGGAGAGGGATAGAGAGTTAGAAACATCGATGAGAGAGAAACATCGATCAACTGCCTCCTGCATACTCCCTACTGGGGGTGTGCTCCTGACCAAGGTACATGCCTTTGACCGGAATAGAACCCGGAAACCTTGAGTCCACAGGCTGAGGCTCCATCCACTGAGCCAAACCGGTTAGCGCTGAAACACTGCCTTTATAATTATTCAAAGTGTGTACACATTTTGGGGGGACACCTGTATATATGCCGAATGCACTTTTATCCTTGTTAAAAAGCTGGCTGACACACGTAAGTGTGGGAAAAGCTTGGATTATACACAAATCTGATTAGAACCCTCCTCAATCAACAGTCCAGGGCAAGGGAAGGCAGCAGGGTGCATGGATGCATGGATGCATGGATGGATGGATGGTAGCATATGGCTGGCTATACAGGGGCTTGGTTTATCTACTCTACCAGAAACATCTTCAGTTTCCTTCCTTCTACGGGGTCAAGGGGTCATAAATACAAAATAATGTGATTTGGCGGATTTGCTAGTGTGTTCACAGTAAAGGGAGCGCTGCACGTATGTGCCAAGAGCAGCTGAATGGGGACATTTGGCGCATACTTCATGCCAGCCAAAAAATAAACAATTTCTGTATTTCCTCTTTTCCTTCCCCAGAGCCACTGTGGGAATGGCCTCAAGCCAGCTGTTTACCCACAGAGCGTGGCGCCAACGAGATTATGGTGACAAGAAAGCACATGGGGCGTTTGCTCAAACGATCAGGCTGGGCAGAGAGCCGGAGACGTTCCCACCCGCGGCAGCGACCTCCCGGGCTCCTCACCATTTGCATGGCCTCCTCCATCCACTTTCCGATCTCCTCCGCTGACACCGAGCACCCGCCGCCGGTAGCTGGCGTGGACGCCTCCTTCGCCTCCATACCGCGCTGGGGCGGCAGCGAGCTCAGCGCCGGAAGCCGGGGCGCCAAGGGAGCCCCCGCCCGGAATCCGGCGCGCACAGGCTGCGGTTTCCGG